GGGAAAAGCTTCGGGCACCACAATTCCGCTCTCGGGCACCACAACATTCCACGTGATTTTGGGTTGCACGTGACCCCTTGGGCACCACATTGCCTATGCTGATCCCACTCGGGCACCACATCCATTAGAATCATTTAATGCTTGTATGTATGATACTAGCCATTCACAAACACTTATATTGGGGCTATCATGTTAATAGGAAACGTTAATAGGAAATGTTCATATTTATTGTTGTTTGGTAATATTGTTTGCATACGAAGTGTTGTAGCTTGATTTGGTGATGACTTCGGTTGATGTCGATGTATGTTGCATAAAAAACATTGAAGGGCTTAATGGCATAAATATACTAGGGATCGATAATAATAGTTGCAGCATGTATCTCTTCTTCTGTAAGCTTAGGTTTTGAAGGCTCTCGAAGGCCTTCATACATGATGACTTTGCTTGAAACAAGCTGCTGCCAAATCATGCTACTTGCAGATGCATAACGTTTCCATCCATGAGCTATCTTTGGAACAGGCGATCCAGGTTTAAGGTTGACACTAACAAAGTGAGAGCGAGAGCCAAGAAGTGCAATTGCAATGCCAGGATTACGGTTGAGGGGACATGCGTCTGGCAAGAAAGTGAAGCATTCATGTGGGGAAAAATAGTACAAGGGTCGTTCAAATGCATTAGCAAGTACATAACCTGCCAAAGGCATCATCATCCATTTCGATGTATCTTCTACGCACGAGCCATTAAACCAATGTAGGGATGTCGCCAATTCATCATAATCGGATTCAAGGCCAAAGAGCTTGCGATAGTGATCGGGACGGGATTGTAGTTCATCCAAACAACGACGACGGATAAATGGCCATTCTTCTTCATTCATCTCTAAGCCAACAGCATATGCTCGGAATCCACAGTTACCATCAGCACGAACATTCCTCATTGAAGATATCCAATCAACCATGAAATATGGTATATCCTCTGTTCTAATACTGGCAGCAACGAGGGAGTCGTTAGCTCTTTCTGCTGCTTGCTTCCTAATACATACATACTTAGTCAAAAATGCAAGGTACATATTATGGGATCTTTTCGTACACTTCCTGCTTCAAATTAAACACCACTCGGATTTTCTTAGGAGGCTGTTCATGTGGTGTACTTTCTGATGCTGGCCGTTTCCCCTCGTTTTCATCATCTTTGGGACACTCATCTCCATGATCACTCACACTTGATTTCTCTCGCTCCTGTGCCTTGGAATCAGCTGGTACCGGTAAGCGTTGGGATCCCGTGGGGCGCCCACGATGCTTCATTTTTTGAGGAGGATTGAGATCTTCAAGCGCGGTGGTAGGAGCATCTAAGATACTTTGCAATCTTTCAAGAATCCTACGTCTCTCTTGATAATCCCTCGCCTTGTTAATCTTATCTTGCAATCGATACAAGATAGTCAGAGAGTTGTTATCAGTGGCAATGTTGACATCCGCATTGCTGTTACTTGTAGTACATGCATCCTCATCTTTTTCATTCTTGCCATTTGCAATCTGGAGGTCTTTTTTCTTCATGTCAATATGTTACACGATCAAATTCACAGCTTAAAAACAAACCTGCAGTATGCTTATCCAAGCATAAATGCCATCTGAGATGTACAAGCGATATTGGGATAGGCTCGGTCGTTGGCAGAATATGATAGCATGGTATTCCAAAATTCACACGGATCTTGCAATTACATGCCAATGGCTGGGAATCGCTTTCACTTGGTTCGATAGGTTTATCCACCTTATCCTTCTTGCCCACCTTTACAAGCTCTTTCTTGATCTTATCGACGGCATATTGCGATACCTTCCCAATCAAATGCTGTAGCTTCTCTTTTACATGCTCTGGCATGAAGTGATCATGGGCCATTTTGTTTTTCTCGATGGCAATGCTTTCGTTCTCATTCTAGGTAAAGTCGTGTTAATCATTGTGATGTTTGGTAATAGAAAATGGATAACACTGAAAAGTACGTTGAGACTGAAAGATGCTTCTTCTTTATTCTTATCGCTCTATCCTTATTTATAGTTTTACGAGATCTTTGGTATGACTAATCTTCAAGAAGGATTCATGACAAGAACCAATGGTTATATGACAGCTACGCTAGTCGGATGTTTCACTGGATTCGAGGTGGTTCCTTTAGTTACTTAATCGGTTTCAGTCACTTCTAGGTCATTCTCATGTATTCCTTAAGGGAAAACATTCATCCTTTTATTATTCAATATCCATAATATCACAATCATGTTCAATATCATAATAGCTCATAGTTTGCTTATGATTTTATTGTACCTGTAGCCTGATAAAGCGATCAATCTCCTTGATGCCATTGACGAGCGTGCCTGAGGCGGTAAGAAACTTCTTGATGGTTGCATGAGCACCTTCAACACGGTTGGTAGTCGTACATCCAAGATGGAAAAAGTGACATGTGTGCTTGCCAACCCAAAGCTCTTCCACTTCAAGCATTCTATGGATGAACAATTTAACCTTAATCTCATAGTTGTTCTTTCGATAAAGTTCTCTAGCGCTTACCTATCCAAGTACTTAACGATTTCAGTCGACTTGCTACTGGTATTGGCAACTTCCAAGAAATCAGATTTGGCTTTTTGGTATGATGATTCATTGTCGGAGCGGATGAGACCATCAACAGCTTTCAGTAATGCCTTATGCTTTTCAACATCGCCATCAAATCCTTTAAGGCAGTTCTTTTGGAAGTTTTTCCTAATGTGAACGGTGCAAAGCATAAATGTTGTATCCCGGTAAGTGGTCTTGATAGCACCAACAAGCGATGGATCATAATCAGTTACAATAACACCGGGGACCTTGTCAACGGGTTTCCAAATGAGATCATGGAGCTCCTCTGCGACCGAAGTGTATGATTCCTTTGTCTCGTTTGAAATCCATGCACCAGCAATTGCAAATGTCTTTAGCTGCTCACTTTTGGATCCTACGTTGCTAACACCAACGACATTGACATATGGCATCTTGTACATATTTGTCTTATATGTAGCATCCATGATTACTACCTCTGAAAACCTTTGTGCATTCTTAATGCAGCTAGGATGGGCAAAAAGGAGGCTTGTAAGCTGTTTGTTGCTGTTGTATTGGTAACGGACTTGATAACCTCGTGCATGCAGGTACTGTCCCATATACGCCATATTACAACCATTGCTGTTTTCAGAGATGGCTTCACGATTCTTGATATTGGATACGTCTTTAGGAATCATTATCTGGTTGCCGTCCATGTCACGCAAAGCATCGCATATATTTGATGGTGTCGCCTTTGCTTGAATCATTTCTAGTACACGTGCGAATTGGTCTTCTGTTAACTTGCGATGCTGATGGAAGATTCGGTAATTGTCAACCATGTCGTGGTTATGCTGATCATTTATAGACCAAGCTTCCCAACATCCACTCTTCGTTGGCCTGGCCTTGATTAGGAAAGGGCACTCCTTACGCCAGGAGTCACGCTTGATCTTTCGAGTCTCTTCGGTTAGGCCATGGCAGTTTTTTGGTTGTCCACCGCAACGGCATTGTAAATGCATATGGCGTTTACTAGAGTTCTTGGTCGTGACACAGTAACCTTCAGCTTTGGCAATGATTTGAGCAGCATCATATAGCTGTTTCTTGGTATCAAAGAGACGATTGTATAGCAAGGACATGTTATTACAATAGGGAAAACAATCACTATTCCAAAATCACCTTGATGTCACAACATTTATTTAGTTTTTCAATACACGCTTTCTTTATCTAAAAAAGGATACTACGAACATGCAACTAAGGGTCATACATACAAGCATTGAATGATGCTAATGGATGTGGTGCCCGAGTGGGATCAGCATAGGCAATGTGGTGCCCAAGGGGTCACGTGCAACCCAAAATCACGTGGAATGTTGTGGTGCCCGAGAGCGGAATTGTGGTGCCCGAAGCTTTTCCCGAAAATTCATTATAGTGAGGATTTTGCCCAGGAGGTTGTGTTGTTGTCTCTTCATATTCTCGGTATTGCTCGTTGTATAACCTAGCTAAGATGCTCTCTAGGATCTGGATTGTAAAACGGACACCTGTCATAATATATATGTTTAGCTGGTAGCTGGTAGCAAAGCTCTAGATGAATGCTGCTATGTTCTAGTAATAAATGGAGCAGGGCATTATTACCACTCAATTCGATTTCTTCATTGACTGCTGCTTCGATTCGATCAGCTTCACTCATACTGTCAAAAGCCGTATCCATTCAGCTATTCTTGTCTTTTTATATAGTGCTGAATCACAGCTTGTTTGATAGGCTCAAGATAGCTGAATAGGTTGGGCGTGAGAGCCAGATTTGGTAGCTAGCAAGGTTACTACGTTTGAGACCATTTGTTTATAGGAATTTCTTCAAAAGGAATTTCTTTAAGTGATGGCAATAAGCAATAATGCATGCGATAATTTTTGGACAAATGTAACCCCATCCCTCTGGCAACATGATATAAACATACAAAGCACCAAAGCATAAATATTGCTCCCGATTATCCTATTGCAGGTTTTCTTTATTTCCCTTTATCCTACCCAGCACATCAATACCATAGTCCTCTAGCACAATCAATGCAATGTCTAGTCAACCAGAATATGGATCTTATGCAGCCAACAACTCTTTATGCTCAGACGCAAACTCACAAATGACTGGTATAGATCGAGAGTCAGACCTTTGTTCGACCGATCTAGCTCAGGTTATTGCACAATGGATGGATGAACGTAAGGACTTTGTGCATACTTTAAACCATAGCTAAGCTAACAAAGATATCGTCTTATGGGTCATTCATTGCTAGAGCCAACACAGTGCTTGAAGGTCATACATACAGTACTTGCACACCATTGCATCAAAACCAGGTTCAAGCGTGATATCCATTACGCTCCTCATACAAAATGCGCTGATAATGGGTCAATTATCAAAACAACTAGCGAATGTGTTCTACGCGACATTAAGTAAGTGCATGGCATTCAGCCATATGCCTTTGTCATGTCCCATGTCTACTGACTTATGTAATTATTCATTAAAAGCGAAGACGTGTTTAACCGTATCAACGATCTTGATGAAGCGTGCTTGATACCAGAGCCCTTCCCTATGGAGGGTGTGGCCTTAAATGAAGGTTCTACCATGGAAAGACATTGCAATCAATATGAGACAGAAAGCGATGAATTGCAGTACCGTGATTTTGAAGGAAACGATGCACAATACGACATTGAAGGCGATGATGCACAATCAACACAAAGCAATGGGGATCAAAATGTTATGGAGGGGAATGATGCACGAGCAATGCAATGCGATGATGGCCAAGAAGATGCTATGGAAGGAAGTAACATGCACGCAATGCAATGCAATGATGGTCAACATGATTCAGAAAGCAATCATATACAAACAATACGTCTTGACGATGATAGCGATGACGACCTAGTGGAAGAAAATTGTATACAAAGGAGGAACCGAGGTAGAAATGTCGTACAACATGCGTGCAATGAAATGACCACAGGAGATGACAATGACCCATTTGCTAGCGCATCTCCTAAGCTTTTAGCTGGTTAGTAGCTCATATCCAAGCGTATATATCCCACCTCTACTAATCAATCCTGAATGGTTTACCGCATCGTTTATAATAATAGTATTGCATTACATGCGTCTTCGTGTTCCAAACAAGTTCAGAGTGGACCCGGCAGTTATCCAAGCAGCACTGCAACTTTTTGATGACAGCAGCAATATCCGTATGCCAGTTCTTCGATGCAATGATAATGGCCTAGATATGGAAGATTTGATATCAGTGACAACAATGCGAGCACGAAGTACAATGTATACATTTGCAGCTTACACATTCAACTTGAACGCATTGGCATGTCTATATGCAGCAACCACCGAAATAAAGCCTGTTACCCCTGATCATAACTATCATCTCATTTCCTATCGGAAAGTGGTTATAGGTAAGCGTCCCTTTTTCCAGATGAATCTTCTTTTATTACCCACTGAACATATGATCTCATCCCCTAGAATGCTTTCCAGACCGCAAAAGATCAAGCATTGCAAGAGCAGGGAGGATCTTGCTTAGGATTGCTGCCAAGGTTGGTCCTTTGATCTTGCTTTGTCCACTGCACCTGCGTTGGGACCAATTAGGAAATGTATGTCCACAAATGCCTGGTATCTATCTACTCATTTGGTTCAAAAGGTTGACTTCATTACGTTAGCTACGTGGTCGCGAAGCAAACATCCTCGTCAACAATTTCGAGGACTTGCTCAGAGATTTCCCATCGAATGAGTTTGGATTTAATGCTGTTCGGTATCATGATTTGAGGCGGTTTTGGACTTGGGTTCAGAAGCTTTGTACACTATGCAGTATTAGAACTAGCCCACATGTTGGTGGTATATATTACACTCGATGAAGGAATAAAATGGTCCTCAGCTGATTGATTAAGGAATAATCCACGTAGTTTGAATGCAATTGGAATTTTCCACTTTGTTTACCTACTTGCGCAACTTTGGCCTTGATGCTCACATGGAAATCCAACATTGACATGCATGCTTATTCCCAAAGCAGTGCTTTCCTTAGCATTCCACCCTTTGGTGTGCACCTCCTATCGTCCATTCGTGTGAGAAAAGTGATATGTTGCATCAACCAATGCCAAACTTCATCATGCAAATCCTGCCATCCATCTATATGAAGAAAGTAAAACAGCTTAGCTGCATTGCCATAATAACGCCACTCCAACATGTCTGTTAGCCATCACGTGCTGCATATATTTGTCCATCACAAGGCCCACCTTTTGGGCATGCACTGGATAGTGCACGAGAGAACTAGACCAACGAAGAATGTGAGCAAGAATCTGGAAGGACTGGCAATACATGGACACAAGTGTCCCTTTATTTTTGATTATAAGTACCTCTCATTCATTTGATGCGAACTCACTACTCACTTCTTCTATCAATTTCTTCTTCCAATTTTTTCTTTGAACCATGGCGAACAACATCCCTTGCACTGGTACCCTCGCAGGCATAGTACAATCTTCTTGGGAACTCAAATATCCACGCAATGACACGACCGTCCTAGACATCATTGCAAAGGCTCTTGCCCATCATGGCATAAGAGTCACATATACAATCGACCCAACAGCGTTTAACCGGGTTCATGAACATGATGATCATCCATGTCCCCTCCTTGACGATCCCGATTTTGTGTAAGCTCTATTCTATCATCTGCTACTGTACTATGATTTCATGCTCATTGGTTTTTATTTTCCTTCTCAAGTGTACTTCCAGCTACTCCAGCACACATGCCCGGTCCCCAGGTGTGGTATCCAAGGTAGTTTCTAGAAAGGATGAGTAAGCGGAGATG